ATATGTTTTTCTGAATGTAGAGATTCTGAGCAATCGAATGCTGTAAAGATATTCATATGTTACCGGGCAAAGCTGAGAGTAAGCGTAAAATAAAGTTACCGAGGCATTAATTCATATTACTGTATTATGAGGCGAGCATTTGTTTGCTTCTGACAGACAAGTTACTCTTCTTGATGAAAGGCAATAGAATGATCATTTGTAGCGTTCCGATGACCTTGCTAATCAAGAGTCACATGTAATCGAGGGTTGTGAGTTGGAAATTGATGAAACACCTGAAACTGAGGTAGTAACTCCAAATTTGCTTGTCAAATTTCGTGATCTTCACAGAGGTATCACCCGTTTGTGAAAAGTGACAATTGCGATCGTGAGTATTTCTGCTGTTTTATCAATGTTGACGGCTAAAATCAGATCTCTATGATGGTTTATACTTGTATTTCAAATGCAAACCGTTCAAGCAGGTTTCTTTTCAGCACAACATTGCATACTCGATTAAATTTCATGGAAAAATTTGCGAGGTTACTTCAAATTTCTACGTTTTTAAAAGAATTTCTGTGAGCTTTCTTACAAATTTCAATACCAGAAAGGATGTGAATGAAATAAATTTCATCACATTATCAGCGCTCTTCCAATACCTACACAGAAAGACGTACACACGGTCGTGATGGAAATGCTTTTCTGAGAATTAAATGAGACGTTAGTTAATTTGAACGCTTTTGACTAATTGAAAATTAACGGCTTTCTTAAGATTCGTTCCAGTTTGTTCGTTGAGTGATTCGAAAATAAGGCACATTCTTTGCATCGTTGCAACAGTGATTTTGACTAGTCGATTATTATTATTGTTATTGTACATACTTTAGCGGTATTATGGATTCATTCAAACAACTTGATGCCTTCAGAAAATCAGTTATATCTCTTGAACTAAGCAGATTCCCTCGATAACATATAAAGTATTCTGAAAGCTGAGAATCTGCTGAATTTGACGGTAACTAGAAATCATAGTGCTGCTGGGTAAGTTCGAGGATACTGGTAGTTTATTCATCTTAGGTTTGTTCTTGCTGCGATTACAATATATCGTTTGGAAGATGTGCTGCATTTATTGCGTTAATTTCATTGTTTTCAACGCAAAATTTCGCCGTAATCATCCATTGTAGACCGTCCAAACGTCGTAATCAATTATAAATAATTTTGTTTCCTTATGATGTATCGTACGTTTTCATTCACCCTTCTCTTTGCTTTCTCCTCGCCATCTACAGAACATTATAACGTTCATAAGAATGTTGTGTTACTTATTCACTAGCCTCAAGTCAATGTCTATCAAAAGGAAAAACTGTCTACTGTAAATCTAGATCTCTCAAAGGTAGATTTTATTCATTAAAACGTTTGTTTACCAGCAAATCTCCTTTCCGTCGTTGAAGAGTACGGCGTTAGAAAAAGTGAGCACGTGACGATTTTTTTGAAGCTTCTTTGAAAGCTCTCCTTCAGAAAAAAAAAACGAATAAATGAACTCAAAAAGTTAATGATAATTTTGCTTTGTGGATTTGCTATTATGCATTACAATATCGCCAAGGCACAGACAACGTTATGCTTTATTTCAGTATCACAATTACAATGGAACAACGAACTTACAGGAATGATGATAAAGCAATGAAACGAACAAATAAATTTGTTCAAACATTCAGCGAATTATCACAAATCTTTCACGTTGAATTTATTCAGTGTAACAATGAATCAAATGAATTTTTTACAGACATTTCATTAAAATTTTAACATTTCATTTTAAAATTACAGACATTCCGATTGACATTAGAAGAACGATTTCCGCAATAAATGATTATATAATGTCAAATAAATTCTGCAGAACTAATCGGAACAACAGAACATCCAAGAACACCTCGACCCGACCACTGCCTTGGCACTAATTCCAAGCGTTCAGCATGGCCTTCTCGTATCACCGTTATACGAATCTTTTTCTACAAACCATCATTTTTACGACATCATCACTCTGAGTGTGCTTCATATAAATAATCGCTGTTCATCAACACGTTATATTTCATAAAATTCTCAAAACGAAATCAAATTTAATGTAGCAATATAAATAAATTTCAAAGCTTACTCCGACAGAATTTTGTACAATTCCAGCTAACTGATTTATATCAGAGAAGTTTTCAGCGTGTAAAGAACCAAACTGCACAATGGGATCACCGTTCTTCAGACCCTACAATGTGTTCATTAACATCATAAGTTGTCAGCATTGATCAACAAGATGGTTCGTTCCAAGCCTTGCGTCCTAAGCGAAATAAAAAAGATTATTTTTGAAATTATTCAAATTGGTCGGTCAGAGATAAAACGGATCCATCAGTGCCAAAATTAACGTACAGCCTCATGTGCCGGTGATGAAGGCGCAACGGTATCAATTTTAGCAAACACACGATTTGATGTTCGTTTAACGATTTCATTTGATTGGTCATCATTTTGAAGTGAACTGCAATCAGACAAGAATCTGGCGCTGGAAATTTTCATGTTAGTAGTGATATTGATAACAGTAACGATAATAACGATACTCTCTTCAATAAACAAATAGTTTAATCGGAAATTTCATTGCATCACCATGCTCTTTCAATATTCAATGAACTGATTGATTCAAACTAATCATAAAAATTATTCTATTCAACTGAATACAGACAAAGTAGAATATATAAAATTGATGAATAATAATACTTCTGATTGGATGATGACGATGAATTTTGTTTGGCCATAGCGTGTAATTGAAGCATCATATCTTCAATTTCAACTGTTAGTTGTTTACGATCATTAGAAGCGCATATGATCGATTGGCGTGCACTTCGCACCGAATATAGGTCTATGTTCGGCAACGGATATCCCTCTGCATCAACTAATGGCGAATGCAAGTCAACACCATTCTGAAACCTTGCAATCATTCACTAGAAATATCATCTGCACAATCGTTGTACGGCAATTTGTAAAAAAGCAAACATCTACTTCGCCCATTTCACTTAACTAAATTTAGATTCTTATGCCGAAGCTTACAGTTAGGTCTGATTGAAATGGATAGGATTGAGATTCACATGGCTGGAACGAGTGTACTTGGCATACTGCTCATTCCCATAATGCACCCATTATCTCTAGTTTGTGATGACTTCTACAAGTCGAAATGAGGCTAGATTTATGCGATTCAAGAGATGTATATATAGGGGTACACTATTGTAAAATGACAATTTGTAAAACTGAGTTTATGAGATTCTTCTGAGATGGAGTTGAAATCATTGAGCTCAAGGTAAAATTAAGCCAATACATCGATAATAAATCTGAACTTAGCATCGAGAGTTAGATCATAACAGGGAATGCAGCATACTGGAATGACACAGATTTTTTCCCATACATATCCTTGAAAAAACACTTCAATTGGAGCAGTTCTAAATCAATTATTAACAGATTTTCGAGGATATTCCTTGGAGAATAAATGGAAAAATTAAATACTGCAGCGTGATTTGGCTCCCCTGAGCACATTCTTCATTTTTTCGATTCGAATTATTCAGTTCAAATGAAAAAGACACGGGTGATCTAGTAACCTCTTTGAGGATTTGATCATATTCAGCAATCTGTTTATCGATATCGTCCCGTTTCGCGATCAACTTCTTCACATCTTCCAAAGAGATCATTTCTTCCCAGTGAAATCTTTCGGATACAACGATTCTCTAAATTCTTTTTCATTATGTTCATGAGAATGTTTGACATTAACGATTCTGAAATGAGGGAAATTCTCCACGAGATATTCAAAAAACTGGTAAATGTTGTAAATCGTATGAGTCAGTAATAATTATCAGAGTGGTGGGGAGGGTATTATGGTTTACTACATGGTCGAACGGGTGCATCACGGCACAAGGCCTTGGACGCATCGGCTTTTACAGTTGATCGATCAGCATTATTGTTACGATTCATCAAAAGTATGCGGTGAATTAAATCCAACTTTTGTGAGTGGACGAACGATAGATATTTCTGCACGAATTGTTGAAAAAAAAACAAATCTGTGATCGGAGACACTCAAAAGAATGCGCCAAATGGCAAGAAATATTACGGAGCAACATGCAAATTACATGCTCTGAAATACGGTTACGATGCCTAATCAGATTTCTGAAATACCTAACGAGATTTCAATCGTTAAATTGACATTCTATTTGATCTTTTAGAAACTAGTTATAAATTATAACTAGTAATACTTATAATTGTTATGGTCACATCGATAAGCATAATCGTCCTGAACTTCCCTTGCATGATGGACGTAATGAGTTAAAAAGATAATTAGATATAAGTGAATTTGGTGGTCTTGCAATTTACAGAGGCACAGCAATGCAGAGCAAGCAAATCTCACACGAACAATAACAAACCGCTGGCTAACGAAGCGAATGAAGGCGCTTTTGCTGTCAAAGGGATAGCTCCCATCAAAAGATAGAGCACCATCTCCCTCACAGCAAAACTCATTTCGTTGTTCATGTGAATGTCCATCGAAAGAGAGAAAAGGGATAGCCTCAGTATAAGCCTATCCCTTCAAAGCTAAGGCGCTATTCCCTTCACACCAAAAGTGCTCAAGTGACGACATGCACAACACTGACAAGAAAGTGTTTAACCACCACACAGACGACGAATAAGCGTTTATAAATACGGAATGAAGTATCCCAGTTCAGATGAAGTCTAACAAGGCACGAGTTCTGTCCAAATGTGAGTTCAAACTCTTAGATAACGACTACATCCAACAATCAGGACTTTAAATCCATCACATTAGAATTTTAATGTGTGCACCCTTAAACATCGAATGGTACCGAGTAACATTTAATTTCTTCAACGAGTTTCATAAACTGTTGACACAAACTTTCACAAGTCTGCTGACTTTCAATATTTACATCGTTTTCATTGAATTCGGACAAAATCACTGGAAAACCNTTTCCATTTTCAGACAAAGGGGGAAAAGGCCAACTGTTTCGCTAGACGGGCCCCGATCTCCGTTTCGCGAAACAGTTGGCCTGGTAACACCGCTCGATCGGGTTCAGCTTGCAACTGCAGACAACTGACACCAAAAAGTGTCGAAGTCGGCAGGTTGCTGCCGAAGCCAGAGTGGCGAGGTGCTCACCCGTTGAGAATTTGGAACAATTTAGCTATCCAAAACCAGCCCAAAAACCTTAGACCTCAAGCATAAACATCACACCTCACCAAACCCTGTCCCGATCGAATGGCATTACACGAAAGAGCTATATAATAGCTCTTCCGTCAGAACACAACGACACATTAAAGCTTTATACATCCCTCATTCCTCGCAGAGGTTAATGAGGGTTTTACAACAGTTACAGAAATGAATGTATCACCAAAATATAAATTATCATAACACAGGATCACATTATCATAAAATTCTTCGCTGCTTCTCGTAATATTCTTCCTGCAGTTGCGTTCATTTATACCACGTTGTTATACGGTTTCACATTCGCGTCGTCTATTTCTCATCACGTAATTTCCACATGAGTTTGATACTCCTAAAAATTTACTCAGTAGGTTCAAATGGATTTTTTTNTTTTTTTAAGTATATCCTACAACGCATCTACCGTTGTTACATGCTATGAAGGAGACAAAAATGGATTCTAAAAAACTGCGAACTCTCCCTCCTCCCCACTTTACAATTTCCAAAATAATAAGCATGGCTGATTAATATTTCTCGGCATACAGCGGACTTCAAAGACTCAAATCTAGATCTAAAATAAAATTCAGAAACAATACGCCAAAAGTTCCAACTGTGAGACTCGAACCCTGCCCTGCCACTCGGAAACGCAGCCCACTGCCGCTATGCTACGACGCATCTATTACCCTTACGTGTTATGAAATAGACAAAAATGGAATCTGAAAAAAACAGCCATTTTTTCCTCCCCGCCTTCCCTTTTCCTAATTGCAAAAATAGACAGGATAGCAGACTAACATTTCTCATCAGGCACCATAAGCCTTCAAGAACTCGAAGCTAGGAATGAATTCAAAAAAAATTCAAAACAAAATTCAAGGCCAAAAATTTCAAAAGCTAGATTCGAACCCTACCCTACCATGCGAAAACGGAGACCACTGCCACTATGCCATGACGCATCTACCACTCCTACATGCTATGAAATAGACAAAAATGGATTCTTAAAAAACTGCCAGCATTCCCTCCCCTCCCCTATTTTTTCAGTTTGGAAAATATTGATTAATGCTTTTCAGGATACACCACAATCCTTCAAAAGCCCAAATCTAGACATAAAGCAAAAATTCAAAAGTAAAATTCGAACCACGTCCTGCTTTGCGAAAATGGCGACCACTACTACTATATAACGGCGCACCTCTTGCTCCAACATTTTCTGAAATAGACAAAAATGTATTCTAGAAANCATCCATTTGTTCCTGCTCTCCTTCCCTTTTTCCCTGTTTACAAAATGTTGATTAATACTTTTCGGGATACACCAGTCTTTCAAAAACCTAAATCTGGAAATAAAACAAAACTTCAAAGGTGGGGTGTGAACCCAGCACTGCCGCGCGAGAGCAGATACCACTACCACTATGCTATGACGCATCTACTACTACTACCTACTATAAAATAGACAAAAATGGATTCTTAAAAAACTTCCAACATCCCCTCACCTCCTCTATTTTTTCAGTTTGCAAAATGTTGATTAATGCTTCTCAGGATACACCACAATCCTTCAAAAGTCCAGATCTGGACATAAAACAAAAATTCAAAAGCAAAATTCGAACCTCGTCCTGCTTTGCGAAAATGGTCGCCATTACTACTATATAACGGTGCATCTCTTGTTTCAACATTCTCTGAAATAGGCAAAAATGGATTCTAGAAAACAACCATTTTTTATGCCCCCTTCCCTTTTTTTAATTTAAAAAATAGAGAGGATGGCAGATTACTGTTTGCTATCAAACACCATAAGCCTTCAAAAACTCAACGCTAGTTGTGAAATAAAATTCAAAAACAACAGGTCAAAAATTCCAGAAGACTCGAACCCTGTTCTGCCTTGCGAAAATGGAGAGCTTTACCACTACGCTACGAGTTATTTACCATTGGAACTTTTTCTGAACTAGACAAAAATGGATTCTAAACGAACTGCCATCCTTTCTCTACCCCTTCTGCTCGAATCAAATAATTTTTAAGTAAAAGTACATTTAACACAGAATGAACATCGGATTATGAAGAAATATACATATGAGAAAGAAAAAACCGGTAATCCGAAGTCAAAAGCGTTGTATCATCCTGAACATCATCCTGAACCTAAATAAAAACTGAATTTTGAATCTTTGTCTGATTACCACTATATTGAAGTACACCTTAAATTTGCAGACACAAATGAGTAAATAAAAATGGATTCCGAAAAGAATTGCCCATTTTTTCCTCCCCTTTCTTCCGAATTGTACAATCTTCTTCTAAAAGAACTACCTCACAAAAGCACTTCAGATAAATGTTAGTCTTTTTGCAAAAAAA